TGATCTTAATAAGGAGACTACACCAGTAATCTCGTCCCTTGCATAACCGCCGAAAATGCGGTCTCGCCTGTGATGAATATTTTAGAGCGAAGAGCTTGGTGTTTCCAATGGCGTACTTTACTTTACTTTACTGTTTTTACACTACTCCTATTTTATAATTCTATAACAATTTATAATTCTTTTTGTAAATACTAATCCATATGTATTTGCAAATTTTTATCAACAAATTTCATCAGTTATTATAATTTCCTCATCATAGTAGTAATCCAATAATGAAACTGAGTGTAGGAATTAATAATAGATTAATAATTTATTGTAAGAAAAAATGTATGATGCGCTACTGAAGGCTTTAGCAAGGCGGATTATGGTTCAAATTGACTCTTCAGTCCTAGTGTATATTTAGGACGTAGGCGAAGTTTTAAGAGCCTTTTACAAAAAACCCTGTGAATTAGTTCTCTACATGCATAAAATTAGCTTTTGATATGGTGTCGTGTCGAGTCTCTATAGTCCCCTCGATAATCCGGCATTTTAATATTATACAGGGTGTTTCACAACTTATCCGACAAATTTTAACCACATATGCACTGTTACGAGAGAAGTTAATTTCCCCAAAAAAATGTAATAAAAGTCTTACAGAAATCGAGATAATAAAATAATAGTTTAACAGTTCAATTACTTATACAAGATGTTCAAAATTGTTCCCATTTACTGTAATGCAAGCTTGGGTGCTTGTTTTTTTTTGTTTTAACCATTGTTTTGGTACAAAATTTGCTACAGTAAAGTATTAAGGCAAAATTAAGAACGAAAAATGCAGTATTTATTTTTTAATTTTTTATTGAAACTCGGATTTATAATTTTATTTCTGTAGGACTTTTATTACATTTTTTTGAGAAATCAACTTTTCTCTCTTTGAGAAATCTCAAAAAAATGTAATAAAAGTCCTACAGAAATAAAATTATAAACCCGAGTTTCAATAAAAAATTGAAAAATAAATACTGCATTTTGCGTTCATAATTTTACCTTAATACTTTACTGTAGCAAATGTTGCACCAAAACAATGGTTAAAACAAAAAAAACAAGCACCCAAGCTTGCATTGCAGTAAATGGGAACAATTTTGAACATCTTGTATAACTAATTGAACTGTTAAACTATTATTTTATTATCTCGATTTCTGTAAGACTTTTATTACATTTTTTTTTGGGAAATTAACTTCTCTCGTAACAGTGCATATGTGGTTAACATTTGTCGGATAAGTTGTAAAACACCCTGTATAGGCTACAATACTTCTACGCCTAATTCAATTCTATTCTCTATCCGGAATTCGATTCCGAGCAACCTCAAAAAAAACTTCACGTAATTACCCCTTCGACGTCGATTTTCGAGAGGTGGACTTTCGGCAGATTGGTCACGAATTATTCGAGTAATAAGTATTTGTGTCCGATGGCACCTACTTAATGAAATGTCGAATTAGCCGGCCCCGACGATTGACTAGAACAGGGATTTTCACTCAAGAAAAGGTCCCAGAAACACATCTATTTTATACCCCCAGGACGGTCTCGACGAAACCGCAAGATGAGAGATTCCCACAAGTACAGTTCAGGCCTAATTAATAGCGAACACTTCGGGGATTGTTCTCAGCAACAAGGATCTCTCTCTCTCTCTCTCTCTCTCTCTCTCACAGCAAGATTTTTATATAGCTCGAATTACTATTAAATATTTAATACTTCATTCTCATGATACAGAAACTTCTATGCAATAATTTACAGCTAATTCGTGACATCGTTTAAGAATTGTTACACACATGTAACTCCAGAACAGCATTAATAGCGAACACTTCGGGGATTGTTCTCAGCAACAAAGGATCTCTCTCTTTCCCAGCAAGATTTTTATATAGCTCGAATTACTATTAAATATTTATTACTTCATTCTCATGATACAGAAACTTCTATGCAATAATTTACAGCTAATTCGTGACATCGTTTAAGAATTGTTACACACATGTAACTCCAGAACAGCATTAATAGCGAACACTTCGGGGATTGTTCTCAGCAACAAAGGATCTCTCTCTTTCCCACAGCAAGATTTTTATATAGCTCGAATTACTATTAAATATTTATTACTTCATTCTCATGATACAGAAACTTCTATGCAATAATTTACAGCTAATTCGTGACATCGTTTAAGAATTGTTACACACATGTAATTCCAAAACAGCATTAATAGCGAACACTTCGGGGATTGTTCTCAGCAAAAAAGGATCTCTCTCTTTCCCAGCAAGATTTTTATTAAACTCGAATTACTATTAAATATTTAATACTTCATTCTCATGATACAGTAACTTCTATGCAATAATTTACAGCTAATTCGTGACATCGTTTAAGAATTGTTACACACATGTAATTCCAAAACAGCATTAATAGCGAACACTTCGGGGATTGTTCTCAGCAACAAAGGATCTCTCTCTTTCCCAGCAAGATTTTTATTAAACTCGAATTACTATTAAATATTTAATACTTCATTCTCATGATACAGTAACTTCTATGCAATAATTTACATCTAATTCGTGACATCGTTTAAGAATTGTTACACACATGTAATTCCAAAACAGCATTAATAGCGAACACTTCGGGGATTGTTCTCAGCAAAAAAGGATCTCTCTCTTTCCCAGCAAGATTTTTATTAAACTCGAATTACTATTAAATATTTAATACTTCATTCTCATGATACAGTAACTTCTATGCAATAATTTACAGCTAATTCGTGACATCGTTTAAGAATTGTTACACACATGTAATTCCAAAACAGCATTAATAGCGAACACTTCGGGGATTGTTCTCAGCAACAAAGGATCTCTCTCTTTCCCAGCAAGATTTTTATTAAACTCGAATTACTATTAAATATTTAATACTTCATTCTCATGATACAGAAACTTCTATGCAATAATTTACAGCTAATTCGTGACATCGTTTAAGAATTGTTTCACACATGTAACTCCAGAATAGCATTAATAGCGAACACTTCGGGGATTGTTCTCAGCAACAAGGATCTCTCTCTTTCCCAGCAAGATTTTTATATAGCTCGAATTACTATTAAATATTTAATACTTCATTCTCATGATACAGAAACTTCTATGCAATAATTTACAGTAGCTAATTCGTGACATCGTTTAAGAATTGTTACACACATGTAACTCCAGAACAGCAAGCTTAACATGACTCGAATGCGGTTACCAAATCAACGTTACGTGTAAACTTATACATCCGAAGTCCTGTTGAACTTGAGCTCCGCTCCTCCCGCTCGGGGTTTTGCTTGTAAACGGGGCTGTAATTGTTTCGAGGGATTGAGGAGATTTGGAAGAAATAAAGGATGTCGCTCCGGAGTGACATATTCATAAGAGGGAGATTTGGTGTGTGCGGGGATTAAACGTAACGAGGGTTCTAAATTGATACGTTGGGCTTGTGCGAATATAACACGCAACCTGATTTTGTCAAATAATAATAATACCTGTGTCGTAATGTAGATTATGTGAAATTTGATGTGCGGTTTCTCGGATGGAGGAAAGGAATTTTTTATTAGATATAGGTATAAAGGGTCAGAAGGTTATCGGTGAGGCACGCGGAAGGGCGGCTCGCAATTTTGAATAAGCCATTAAAGCTAAACTTGGAGAGTCTTGGAGACGGAAAAAATTTATTCTACATGAAAAATTTATGGCTCGCTCCGCACAACACAACTAAGGTATAAACTCTATTGTACAATAAACTTTATATAGTAAAAGAGAAAATGTTAATTTCTGTTTTACAATAAGTATCAAGTTTAATATTTTCCGTTTTAACTGTCGAACAATAAAAGTTTCAATTCGGGAGGTTTTATTCATTTCTGTCTCGTTTTGGAGCCCGTAACCTGTCGCAAAAACCTTATAAATTATTCCTGCGAGTTTGAATTATTTACACCTATTTCTAAATTGCGGAGCAAAACTAACATGAGTACCGCAGTCGGAAACTGAAAGTTGACGAATTTATTGCCATGGTTAAATTTCCTTTCTGCTGATTTATAGCACACAACTAGCCGGAAAACTATAGATTTAGAATTTAATTTCCAACCGAGCAAAATCCGCGTTTAAAATAAATTATATTAGTAACGGCTTTTCTTATTTTTCCAATTTATTTCGAGCTTTTTGCGAAATATCACCTCTAGCGCACATTGTCAAGTTTAATACGAATTTAAACGGACGAAACGCGGAAAAAAACCGCGCATTCGAATAAAAAGACTCTCGTTGAATATTATTATGATAAATGTGACATTATGGCAGTTCTATAAACTGAAAAGTAGTCCGACTGTTTATACATGAACGTTACAAATGACCGCGGGCATCATAAATTTTTATGACACTCTGACGCGAACGGAAAGTAAATTATCCTTCATACTTTTAGACGATATCCTTATCGAGTAATATGTGAAAAATGTTTAACGTGCGGCATAAATATTAATTTAAAAAACTATCAAATACGCTTAGAGAACATTTATCATATTAGAGCAAAAGTGCTCTTTCTAATTTTTGGTGTATGCGCTCCTCCACCAAAATTGTCATTTTTCTAATTTTTGGTGTATGTGTGTGTACTCCTCCACCAAAATTGTTAATTTTCTAATTGTCGATGTATGCTCCTCCGCCAAAATTACAAATTTTTCTAATTTTTGGTGTATGTGTGTGTGCTCCTCCGCCAAAATTGTTAATTTTTCTAATTTTTGGTGTATGTGTGTGTGTGCTCCTCCACCAAAATTGAATTTTTTTCTAATTGTCTATGTATGCTCGTCCGCCAAAATTGCAAATTTTTCTAATTTTTGGTGTATGTGTGTGTGCTCCTCCGCCAAAATTGTAAATTTTTCTAATTTTTTGGTGTATGTGTGTGTGCTCCTCCGCCAAAATTGTCAATTTTTTTGATTGTTGGTGTGTGCGCTCTTCCACCAAAATTGTATATTTTTATTTTTGTGTTTGTTTCAGCTGTGGTTCTGCCATCGATGAGGGACACCCTGACAAATCCCGTTCACGTGTACGAAGGCGATGATGCGCTCATTACGTGCGTCGTCAGGAACGTGGGTTCCAATACGGTGATGTGGAAGAAGGACGACAGAGAGAGGCACAGCATGCGAGTGTTGACAGCCGGGGAAAATCGTGTGACTGCCGATAAGAGATACGGGGTTTTGCATGATTCAGGTGGGATAAGCAAAGTGGAATAATAAATTCCACCTTCCCTTCCTTTTTTTTACGCAAATCTCTAGAGATTTATTAAGCGACTGTAGCGGAATTTTATCGGCCGCCTGCGTTTTTAAAAAGAATTCTTTTTTCGACCGAATTTTTTAATAGTATTACATTCACACATTGCTGCTGTTGTTCGAAGGAATTTACCTAGCGCGAGGTGAGGGGACACATTTTCAATTCAAAGGACATTTGAGCAATCGAAAGAAAAATTTAATTACGCGCAAAAACGAGTAAGTGAATGAATGAAGCCAAAGAACAAGGAATTCGCCCAGAATTAAGTAAAACTTAATATAAATTCCTTAGTTATTGGAATTTGGTCGGGGATAGGGCACATTAATAAAACTTTTCGAATATAACCCCAAGCCGAATCCTCCGGGGCACCGAACGTGGCGCGTTTCTAAACATAAGTGGGTAAATATCCAACGGAATGTACACTGCGTTTTGAATTTCCAGATTATTCCCCAATAACTTCCAATTTTAACATTTTTAATATGGATGAATACCTACTAAAAACAATTAACAACTCATTCTTTCATAACGAGGGCATTTTTATTTTAACTTATCAACATAGACTTAAAACTCTTAAAATTTGATTTACCTTATTTGCTTCATTTTAGGCTTGGAGTATTTCCTAGGCATGCAGGGCGAGTCTTGTATGAATGGCTTGATTTCGATGATGAGGGAAGCTGGTTTGTTTCTGTAACGCAATGGCGTTGGGGGTTTGTTATGTAAAATGTTGATGTTACGCCAGGCGTTGCGTCTGAACGACAGCAATTCGTAACTTTGAAACGGCTTCCTCGGGGAAACTATCGGGGGGTTGTTGTTGTTGGGCCGTCTCATTTTGCACAAATTAATTGGGTAATTGATGGAGTCCAATGGAGAGGATACGTTGGTGTGCGAGGGCTTTTTGTTCGAGTATTTTTTCAATTTCCTTTTGGCTTTCTGAATGGTGCTGTATGATTGTTTCATTGTTTTCAATCTGTTTATTTTGGGGGGTTGGTCGTTGGGCCTCCGCGCTAGCGGTCGACGTTTGTTGATTTTAGGGGAGGTTATGCGTGGGTAAATAGTATTGTTGTATCGCCTTTTGATTTCTTCAATCTCGGTGAAATTATTTACTTTGGTTTTTCTACTGAATTTTGTGCGAATTTTCGGGGTTTTCTTTGACTTAACTACCATGTTTAAATTTCATTATTCTTGTAATACTTTTGCACTGTAAATTTTTGATAAATATTGTCAAAATATGACACGAACGAAAGCTTCACTTATTATATTAACGCGTTTAACAATCTATTATTAACGAATTGAGATTGAGTTTTTAGTAAAATTACTTTTCGAGGCGAATATTTGAAAAGTTTTCACAAAACTACTGACGTGCGAAATATTCTGAATATTGTATTATATCAAGGGAAACAAGCGGAAAGGTGTGAAGATGGTGCATATCCATCTCGGTTCATGCTTGAAATGCAAATGCATTTTATTTCAATCTACCCGTATTGAGTTTCCGTAATTTTTCGCCGGAGAATATATATTTTTCGAGTATTTTCTATTCTATGTGTGAGCGACGCAGCATCTTCTCGCAGGACGAAATTTCTCTAAAAACGGGAATTTGAATTGTAAATGTCAGAAATTTGACTCGAAATGTTTGAATAATATCTCGATATATCGGTTCGCCCACGATAGGGAGCAAAAAACTTTTGATGAGTTTTTTCATCTAAATTTCTGTTTAGGAAACAAAATGAATTTTCTACTTGATGTGGTTTCATGAGTATTTATTTATACATGTTTGCTTCAAATTTGTTTCCGATTAATTTTTAATTTATATTCTTGCATTTGTATTTTAACCAACATCTATAAAGCGTGTGGAAACAGTATAGGAATTTTCCGGAAAACATATTTTTTCCCAAAAAAATTCACAGAATTATTCGCCTTTATTTCACGATCGAACCTTGGTCATGCAGTTTCCCAGCTGGGAAATAGTAGAGGACACGTATCGAATAGTCATTAAATATTGAATCGCTTTTTAATTTTCCGATTCTCCACCCGGATGGTGTTAACACTATTCCAGCGCTCTCCCTATTCAGATAAAATACAAACAAATCGGAATAATTGCACCGATTCCGAATCGCACCGGAATTTATCCATCCGTGCTATTGCACCTACCATTTCGACGAAGTCAATTTATATTTTTTTACTCTTCCATCGTTGCACTAAAAACTACTATAGAAATATCACAAAGAGTTAGATATTTTTACAGGACTTGTCTTATGAAAATTGAAATTTGGGATAATGAAACTAATGCATGATTACTATATTTTGGAGTAAAATTGACAGATGAAAATTTCAAAATGGCGACTGTGCGCCATATTGTGAAATAAATTTAAATGGAAAGGGGGGTCTTGTGACACATCATTTTGAAGCTCCTGACAAATACTCTACAACCCTGGAATATAAAGTCAATATCTGCACCTGCTACAAAATGGCGGAACATTTAATAATTACCTGAATACAAACAAATTAATATCAATTTTTATAGAAATATTTATTTTTTTATGCCAAATAGCAATCCCAGCAAACCGATAAGGTTTGACAGGTTATTTTTGGTTAAAAAAATTCCAAAAAATTAAAGTACGACAGCGAACATTAATTGTTTAGTCAAAATATCCTGATTTAGTTTTTGGTTTTCCTAGTGTTCAAAATATTCTCTTTAGTTTTCGATTTTCCTAGTGTTCAAAGTATTTTCATTTAGTTTTCGGTTGTTTAGTTCTCGTTTTAGTTAGGTAGCACGTGAACTAACTCAAAAATGGCCAATTCTCGTCCATTGGAAGATGGAGCACCCCCACATTACTTCAGACAAGTAATGAACTATTTGGATGCTATTTTCCCTGGTCGTTGGATTGGTCGTCGAGGTCCTACGGAATGGCCAGCCCGCTCGCCAGATTTGACACCTTTAGACTTTTTTTTGATGGGGCTATTTGAAGCAAAAAGTGTACGAAACTAAACCTGCTTCAATATTAAATATACGAGAAATAATTACAGATATTTGTAGAAATATCGACGTTACAATGTTCGAAAATGTTCGGATAGGCTGTTCTTATATCAAGAAGTTCAAGGCAACCATTTCAAGCATTTTTTGAACTGAACTCAGCTTATTTCCTCAAATTATGGCGTTAAACGTCGATATGTTCAGGTAATTAATAAATGTCCGCCATTTTGTAGAAGGTGCAGATATTGACTTTATATTCCAGGGTTGTAGAGCATTTGTCAGGAGCTTCAAAATGATGTATCACAAGACCCCCCTTTCCATTTAAATTTATTTCCCAAGATGGCGCCCAGTCGCCATCTTGAAATTTTTAACTGTCAATTTTACTCCAAAATATAATAATCATGCATTAGTTTCATTATCCCAAATTTCAATTTTCTTAGTTGATCCGTTCAAAAAATAAAAGGGAAGGGGGACATTAAAGAAATGTACTGTATAAATCGCGGCTTAATTTTTCTTCGTTAGTAGGAATTAGAATTTGGAAATTACGATTCCGTGCGATGACGACAGACGGCGCTGGGTATAATAAAAGTTGTTAAAAAGTTGGTCCGTTAACCGGGATCTGCGCCGGGGTTAGAGTATCGCTGTAATATCATAACTCCGAAAAGCAGTTATCGGAAAAACTAAGTTTTACTTTTTTGGAAATTACGATGGGCAATTACGGGAACCGAAGAAAGACTAAACATAAGTTTCTTAATTGATCGTGTGGAGCTATTGAGAAGGACTAAATTAAATCCCGAGGAAAAAGGGAAAGTAAATCGAAGTTAGGTTAAGTGGGAAACTTTCCTGCTGGCCGTTGTTCCGATCCGAAATGAAAGTATCGGAAGTTGAGGAGGAGTTGTGCAGTAAAAAAAATATAAATTACGAAAGGAATACCTCTTAATCATTGATTATTAAAATAAATGCTATGTTCGATAAGAAAAATTGAATTTATTCCTATTATTTTAGATTCTTCCCCGAGTAAACCAGATGGAATGTCTCCATTACCATCCGGTGGTGATGTTTGGGTTCTAGTCATTGAAAACTCCAAACCATCCGATTCGGGAATTTACGTTTGCGAAGTAAACAGTAGTCCAATTGTGAGGAGTTTCCACAAGTTAAGTGGTGAGTTTTTGAAATTTTATACACTGTGTTATTTATAAGATGCGACATAGGGATTCCTGTACAAATGTGTCAAAAGCGAGCTAACTTTTTTACCAAATAACGTTCGTAAAAAATAATGACAGATTTGAAAAGATCGTCAAAAAATAAGTCGAAATGGATATTAAATTTTATTAAATTCGTTCTGGTTTAATTAAAAAATGTGTAATTAAGTTGAAAAAAGTCAAACGTCATAAATGTGTCATAAATGTGTCATTTTTATGTCACTATTTAATAATTGTAAAATGGGCGGAGTTAGCCGGGATGGTTTACGTTCTGAAATTTAAAAATTTTAGCGGGAAGTAATGTGGTTCAATCCCCGCTCAGTAATGACATTTTTTTCTTTTTTTTTGGTTTTTTTCTAATATTTTTGTCTAAAAAATGTTAAATAGAAATATTTAAAATAAGACGAGCTTATTTGAGATATAATTTTATTTTTATTTAAATAAAAGCTCCGACAATTAAGTGTCAATTTTAATAACGCAAAATCTCGTTAGTAGGTAGAGCCTTTAAAATGATGCCATATTTTTATTCTTGACAAAAAAAAACATTAAAAAAACAAAAAATGCCAAAGAAAAAAAGAAAAAAAATTTCAGCACCGCGTGGAATTGAACCAGATTCCTTACCGCTGAATTTTTCAAACTTCAGAGCGTAAACCATTCCAGATATCTCCGCCCCTTTTAACAATTATTAGATAGTGACATATGACGTATGACTTTTTTTAACTTAATTATACATTTTTTAATTAAACCAGAACGAATTTAATAAAATTTAATGTCCATTTCGACTTATTTTTTGACGATCTTTTCAAATCTGTCATTATTTTTTACGTACGTTATTTGGTAAAAAAGTTAGCTTACTTTTGACACTTTTGTACAGGAATCCCTATGTCGCATCTTATAAATAACACAGTGTATACTTTTATAAATTCATCTATTATTAAATATATTCTTCAGTGTTGTCGAAATCGATGCTTCCGCCGAATTATACGAGTACTGAACCGTCCGCTTCGGGCGAAGACCAAAGACAAATTAGCAGTAAAAACCACAATTATACAGATTGTTGCACGACAAAGAACGTTTCCTCCTCCTGTTTGGGATTTTGCAACATACAGAGCATTTTAGAAGGTAAGAGATCACGGTTCCATTTCGCCGGATTGCTATTTTCCACGTAAATACCGAAAACAAGCGGAAAATAAATTTTCTCAATTAGTTATATTTGAACCTAAACGCCTAAGCCATAAATTTCGTTGAGCCGCAAACAACGGCCAATCGCCAAATAAATGTATTAATTTCCGTTAGCTATTTATTGTTTTCGAAAACGTTTCATTGAATAAATTGTTCGTCATGTCGTTGAAATTAGTACGCGGAAATGGCAATGATCCAATGCATATATGAAACGTTTAATTTTATCGACAATTATAAATAAAATCGATTGTACAGAAATTATTAATACATCAATCGATTAATTTCATACGCTCATATCAATTCTAATTACGCTTGAAGCGAAAATTGAAAATAGAAATAGATAAATACCATAGACCTATTAACTATGGACGCGGTTTAGACAAAGAGGTAGTGTTGTCGATGAATGAGAGAGATGCTGCTAGTTTGGGCATATGACAATGAGAGATTGGACAATGCATTAGCCAATAGTAAGAAAGCAAAAGACCACGTGAGTTACGTTTTCAGATATGTAAGGTAGCTGGGGTAGAGGAGGGTAGCTTATGGTAGAATAGGGTTGAGGATTTATTATTTTTTTACCTAGCAAAATGCATTTTTCAGCTGAGCCTAAATTCCCACGCATTTGCAAATAAAGTTCTTATTTTGTATTGTTATTTGGAACATCCTATCTATTAGCCAGTACAGATTTCGCAATTTATGACCTAACTGCTTTCTCTTGTAAAAAATATGTTTCTTCCAGGTCATTCTTCTGTCCAAGTGGATACCAAGATAAAAACAATATTTAAATATTAAGCGTATAAATAATTTAACAGATTAATCGCATTTTTCCACACACCCTGTATATATTTTATATTTTTTTTGGTCCCGCCTACTTTTAGCCCAAACTAGCTCCATCTCTCACGGACCTCTCTCTCTCTATCATTGGGAACGCTGCATAACCTCAAAATACCGATAGTGTCGCGTCCATACTTAATAGGTCTATGAAACATACCCTTTTTACCCAAACCGAGCATGATTTAATTCCTTTTAGTTAGCTACTAATCGGAGTTCCTTGGTTACCGAACTGAACTAACAATACTATTCGAAAGTAAAATATCAGATTATTTCGCAGGAACGACAGGTCAGGATCCCGAACAATGCGAATCGGATTTTCCTTCGATAGTCAGTTGCATGGCAGACGGCAGGAACCACGTGCCCTGTTGTATACAAGAAAGGGTCCCCGATATATGCCAAGATGTTTGCAGAGGCGAATACACCGCTATCACCGATAACATCAAAACCCATTTCTCCTGTTCTTCGTACACCGAACAAACACTCGCTTGTATCGTCGAAGGAATCGGTAAAGTCTACCAAATTATATTTAACATCTTCCTCTTACATAAAAAATACGTTTATGAACGAATATTTGATGGTGATGTATACGCTGTGTTATTGACTTTTTTCAACTTAATTATACATTTTTTAATTAAACCAGAACGAATTTAATAAAATTTAACGTCCATTTCGACTTATTTTTCGACGATCTTTTCAAATCTGTCATTATTTTTTACGAACGTTATTTGGTAAAAAAGTTAGCTCGCTTTTGACACATTTGTACAGGAATCCCTATGTCGCATCTTATAAATAACACAGTGTATGCATAATATTCCAGAACTCCTTCCTAGTCCTCCTGAAAGCGTTCAAGTCGAAGCGCTCACTGAAAAATCCTTAAGCGTGGCTTGGTCGCCTCCAATCTCGAACAGCGAAAGCCTCACCGAGTTCGTCGTCAACGTAACATCCTTAAAAACTTTCGACGAACGAGATTACTCCGGAAATACCAACAAAAACGGCAGCTCCATTAAGCACAGCGTGTCCGTCAAAGTCCCCGCCAGCCAGCACAACACCATCCTGCAGGATCTGATACCGTTCACGATGTACGAAATAACAGGTAAGAATGAACAATCGCGCAATCGAACTCGATCGATCGAACTTCACCGCGTTTCCAGTGACCGCTTTGAACAAGCACGGCGGCAGCCTGCCCAGCTACAGCGTTCGCTCGCTCACCCTCACGCCGGGCACCACCAAGCAGGTGACCACGAGCAAAGCGCCGCAGTTGCCGGACATCAAGAGCTGCTGCTCGAACAAAGGCATCGTCCACAAGACCTGCATGAGCAAGTTGTGCGATCCCGTGATGGCTTCGACGGCGGAGATCACCGATCTGATGATTTGCGCGCCTTGGGCGGCGGACACCTTCGGTTGCTTGGCCAATGGAATGGATCACACGCCCTGCTGCAGGGCCAGAGGTCTGCCGGATATATGCCAGCAGCTGTGCACCGGGAACGTGTCCAGCATAGATTTCAACTATTTTAAGTAAGTGGATAATGTAAAATTCTGAATGGGTAATTTGGGGCGATCTTCGTCGGCGACGATTTATTATTTAGCATCGAATCCCACCGTTGGTGAGACGATTGCATGGCAATCTCTCCTGTTCGCTTTTCGCGAATTCCCCGACGATGAATTTCCGAAGCGTTTTCTTGAATATTTAAGAAGACTTACTCATTCCGACATAATTGTATTTCCTTCGTGAATATACAAGAGGCGGATTCCGCCGACCCGCGCTCCGCGTTTTAATTATTTGTTTCATCTCGACTGCGCCAGTTTGTCATATCCAATCCCGCCGAGTTTCACTTCCAATGGCAATGCAATATCTCAACACGATGCCGGCGTATCTACCCAGAAGTTTATTCTTCGGTAAAATTGTACCAATAATCTACTTGGATTACCACTAAACATTATGCAGATGAAATTAATAATAATGATAGTCCCCGGTTCATAGCATCATCCGCCGTTCCTCCGAGCAAGCTCCCAACCCATCGTAAAATCAAACGCGTTATTCCAGGTGTTTGCGCTACATGAGCGAGTACAGCAACTGCCTGCTCCAAGGGTACGGAGTGCTGCCGAGCTCGCCCACTCGCCTGCGCCTCACCAACATCGAAACGGACTTCGCCATTTTGCATTGGGCAGCGCCCAAAACGCTGGGCGACACGGTGCTCTACTACAACATCTACCTGCGCAACGTCGACGACGAAACGGCCGATTACAAAATCCTCCGAATGGTGCACAGCCCCTTCGTCCTCGAAGGCTTGGAAAGCGAAACCGACTACGAGGTGTACGTGGAAGCGGTGAACGCGCACGGCGTCGGCATGGAGAGCCCCATACTGACCTTCAGGACTCAGAGCAAAGTAAGACAAATCGCGATTTTTATTAAAAACGCAACAATACAAACGGCTCGGTCAACGCGCGTTGGCTTTCTGCATGAGCGCCATCTCGTGCTGGTTTCGTTTGATCCACCTGCTGGGGTTGCCGGTTCGGATCCAGAATTTGTAGGTGATGGTGTGCCGGTATTTCTCGCCCGGTTTCAGCGTGCAGTTGGGAAAATGGGGTATGTTGGCGCAGTTCGGGTAGTTTTGGGATTGCAAGGCGATGCCGCCGTGCATGGTGTAAAGGCGATGGCCCTTTCCAATGATCCTGTCGGAATTTTGGTAGTACGACGGGACTTTGTTGTTGGCGTTCGCTTTTTTCCTCGAAGAAGCCGCCACGTTGATGGAAGGCGGCGGTGTCGGTGGTACCGGGTGTTTCTCTTCGAGTATATTAAAATTAGCAGTCAATAGTGATGTTTCTGGTTACTTACCGAATGGTGCGTTATCGTTTAGAAATTCGTTGGGTTCTTTCTTCAAATTCTCGCAATACTGGATGATGCTGTCGACGATCTTCTTTAACCAGGCAGTGGTATCTTCCTCGTCTTCTTGTTCGTCTAAGGAATTTTTCATTAGTTTTAGATAGTCGAATAGCTTGGAGCTGAAGCAAATCTTGCTGAGCGCCTCGAAATCGTCGCATAGGATGTCTACAGGTAAATCGTCGGTGACCAATTCGATTTTATTGGTGGAGTTTCGAAGCATGTTAATGATTTCCCTGATTTCAGTGAATTCCGTTTCCTAAATTGTTTCGGTTATTTTACGTTGATGTCGTACAAGAAACTAACCTTATCTTTCTTGAGGCTCTCCTCGAGTTTACCGTACATACCATCGACGAGTTTCAAAACGGAGTCGAAATGCGTTTCCTCGCTTTTTTCAGCTTCCAAGCTTTTTTCAGTTTCCGCCAGGCTCTTCTCAGTTCCGCCCAGACTTTTTTCAGTAACTATACTCTTTTTGGTGCCGATGCTTTTTTCGTCCTCTTGCCCGCTGAGATGCTGCGACGGTTCCGAAGGTTCCGTACCGCTACTCGCTCCGCTTTTGCCGCTTTTCATGCTAACGTTCCTTCTGTTGCTCTGCAATTCGCTGCGATCGGTCTTTCCGCTGGACTCGCTCTTCTCGGACATGCTGCTGCGCTCCGTGTGGTTCCTTTTGCTGTAACTGCTCCTGTCGCTCGTCGCGCCGCGATTTTTCTCCGCGTCGGCGTTCATCAGGAGCTCCTCCACGGATTGTACCAGCCCGTAGCCGAACAGATTGCCCGTGTCCAATTGCACGCCGTATTGGTTGCTGTACAATTCTATAAGTCTACCGCTTGGCGGATGGAGTACTCTGGCTACGAAGCATTCGTCTTGGTTGACGCCTTTGTTCACGCAAAAGTTCTGGTTGAAACCTAGAAGAAAGGTTGTACGAATTGTGTATAAATGGGATGTGTTTGGTACCGTCTTTAGCTGTTATTCCGATGACTGTTCCTAAGGTTTTGGGTATTTGAAAATCGTTGGTGGTGTGCACGACGTTTTGAATTTCGCCGGTGCTGAAGCCGTTTTCGTCTTGGACTGTAAAGCAGTTGCAGTTTAGGGTTAAAATGTGCTTGTAGATTTGGTCGGGTCCGGCGTGGTGACCGGCCAGGTTGAAGTAGGTCAAATTGGACAAGTTGACGACGGTAGGCCGACTGCACATGGCCTCGATGTTGATTTTGAATTCGTTTCTTTCGGATAATTCGAAGGTTATTTGGGTCATCAGGTTTCCCGGATAACCTTCCTCTCCGTTAGGGCTGACGTACGTCATCACTACCTTCTTGCCTTCGATGTGGGAATCCCAGACCTTTTGGTCGAAGCCGAATTGACCGCCGTTCTTCTGGTGGTTGCCCGGCATGTTCGATTTAACGGTTGATTGTTTCCGATTGATGAATATTTTCGAATTTTGCACCAAATTCGTCATCCTACCGATGGTAGCTCCGAAGTAGTATTTGCTGTAGAATATATAACCCGCTAAATCGTCGAATCCTAAAAAAATTAAATATTTGTTGGAAGAGGAGGGTTAAAATTAATAGTATTATGATAAATGGTAATTTTATGTTAATTAATATTCGAACTGTATAATTTAATAGTGCGTTCAAAAAACTAATTGCCGAGCACCCCACTGGGCTATAAATTAGATGGAATAAGGTGAATCTGAGTACCTAATACGATATCATCGACTACACCGTTCCTGTCCGGAAAACAGATCGAAGTAACTCGTGCTCCATAATTTATGACCTTCACTTGAATTTTATTTTCGTTTTTCCAAGTGAATCTTTTGATTTTATGGGAATTTCCGGCTTCGTCGTAGTAATAACCGAAAAATTCTTCGGTGAGATTCACGCTGCTCTCTACCTCTTGCAAATCCATATTCATCGACTGAAATCGCACATGACCGCTACGTGAATTTTTATTTTAACAAGAAAAATCTGTTGGAAAGTTTAATATCTCATATTAGTAATTTTGTTGGTTTACTTGACGTTTTTCGACAATATCGTGACAATATTGATTGAATTAAAGGTTGGTTTAATTGCCTTTTATTTGGACAATTACTTTTGTAATTTACATACAGAGGATTGTTTTTATAAATTCATAGTAATATCTACTTGGTCTTTAAGCGTTCAATGAGTAAATAATCTTTTATTCAAATATCTTTTTTAATCAAATCACTTTATATGCAGAAATCATACTGCCTCAAAGAACCGCAGATAGATTGCGACGCATTTCCACTAATTGGAAATTTTCAGTTCACTTCTGTAACATACATATGCAGATCAAAGCACTCATAAATAAACAAGCCATAAAAACATCGCACTAATTTGTGAAAAAAAAATGGAAAATCCCGAATTATCCGACCGAAATTCACAACTTTTCGACCTACGTACAATCGACTGAAATAATTAAACATCATTGTGGTTAATAATAGGTTTGTTCCTACAAAAAGTCACTGATTTGTTACCAATAAGTTTCTGACTCTTCTATTCCGCATGCGCGGTTTATGATTGAATGGTGTAATCAAATTTCCGATTTCTTGATGGAACAGTTTTTACATTTATTACATATTCACCAAATATCAAACAAAAACAAAGAACAACATGACCTAATAATTAACCTACATTCGGAAATACAAATTAAACCCGAATTGAAAATGCGCTTGCGCCGGATTCTAAATCTCTGTACTATCAGCAAATTTTTCTGACCATCACAAAACCAGTCCCCTGAACTTTTGGAACAATAAATTGTTAACCAAGTCAGAATCAGAGATGTCGGTGGAGTTTGTTGGAACGCCTAAATTATTACTGCGCAGACTCCTGACGACCACCGACATCTCTGACAGACATCTCTGATTCTGACTTGGTTAACAATTTATTGTTCCAACAGTTCTAGGGACTGGTTTTGTGATAGTCAGAAAAATTTGCTGATAGTACAGAGATTTAGAATCCGGCGCAAGCGCATTTTTAATTCGGGTTTAATTTGTATTTCTGAATATAGGTTAATTATTAGGTCATGTTGTTTGTTGTTTTTGTTTGATACTTGGTGAATATGTAATAAATGTAAAAACTGTTCCATCAAGAAATCGGAAATTTGATTACACCATTCAATCATAAACCGCGCATGCGAAATAGACGAATCAGAAACTTATTGGAAACAAATCAGTGACTGTAGAAACAAACCTATTAAATTGTTAACCAAGTCAGAATGAGAGATGTCTGTGGAGTTTGTTGGAACGCCTAAATTATTACTTCGCAGACTCCAGACGACCACCGGCTATTTCTGACTGTTGTAGGAACAAACCTAATGATATTACTGTGCGTGAGTATCTCGATTTTCGATAAAACCTTTTGGAATTGCAGCTGATAGAAGAGAAAATCGAGGAGGCCCAAACGTACAACGTAACGGCGTGCTGCGAGGAAGCTCAAATAAACACGGTGTGTTATCCGCTGTGCTCGTTCGACGCCAACATGACCGACATCAAGACATTGGCCGGCGTCTGTTCCACCGATTTCCAGAAGATCCTGAAATGCGCCGCCGGCGGACGCAACCACGCGTCCTGCTGTCAGCGTCGCGGCGTTCCTTCCGGTTGCCTGCCCATCTGCAACGGCGTCATGCTCAGCACTTTGGCCTTGCCCACGACCAGTTGCGTTCCCTACATAGGAAACATCGCCCAATGCTTCGAAGAAGGTGAGTTTTTCTACGTCTTTTTCAAGAACCTTCGCCTCCTTGCATCTAAACTATCTACAATCGAATCAAATTTTTAATGGTTGATTTTGCATCTAAAAGCAGTTAATTATGTTTGAAAGTATCAAACGCGCTTTGTGGATGTACTTAATTGGTACAGGAAGGTTTTCAAATAATTTAAAAGGTTTCTTAACTGTGTAATATTACTATGGAGATCACTTATGCCCGATTTCACCAACATGTTGTTAGGTATTTCCTAACTAAGTAATTCCTAAGGTAAGAATTACTTAAATCGAATACTTACCTAAATCGAATTTCACCAACATTAGAAATCCCTTACTAAGAAATACTTAGGTAAAAATTTGATTTCGACAATTTTTTGAATTTTATTGGTAGCATTGGCTAATTTTGATGTGTAAACCGAATAAGCGGAGATCGAAATTGAATATGTTGAGAGAAAAGAAGAGATGTTGATGATCCGGGCCATCTTTAAATTATGTTAGTTATTTTTAAATCTGCTGAAGATGTAGTCTCTACATTATTAGAAAAATAACCTTTCCGATTTGTAAAATATTTCTACATCTTCTTCTCCAGGACTATGGATATTTACATGTATATGTACGGTCAATAGTTCCAAAAACTTCCTGTGTATCAAATTAAAAATCATCTCCAATTCATTCTAATATTTGTAATGCCGTATTTTTATATATCGAAAAAGGCGAAAAAAAAATCAGTTTCGTCCAGTTTCTAAAAACTGTCCTCCCATTTTAAATTTTCATCTAAAGAGTATAAAGACAGTCAAGACTTAAGTCACATGAAATCACATGAAAAGTATGGTTAAGTATTTCCTAAATGTTTTAGGCAAGCCCAGTGAGCTGTCCTAACTTTAGGCATTTCCTATTACCTTTAGGTATTACTTAGTGCATAGTGAAACGCAAATTGTACTTAGGAATTCCTAAATCCGGTTTAGGTATTACCTAACTTTAGGAACTGGTTGGTGAAATCGGGCATGAGGCATATAATAAAAGTTCAAAAAAGGTAAATCAAAATATTTTTCAAGGAGCTGAAAAGTTACCGGGACCTGTAACGGCTCTGCACGGTGTAGTGGTAGATGAACACACCATACTATTGGAATGGAACGCTCCGGTTAATTCTAGTAATATCACGGATTATGTGATAAACTACCAGAAAGTCGATAATACTTCCATGTACGAGACCGTATCGAAATTCGAAAAGGTAACCGTTTTGTTTCTCGAGAAAATGTTGCTTCATTTTGTTTTATTACAGCAAACGAAAGTAAGCGAAGCTACAACTTCGGCTACTCTTACTGACTTGGAGGAGAACCAAATGTATCATTTTTTCGTGGTGTCCAGAAATAAGGAAGGAACTTCCTTACCTTCTTCGATCCTTGTGATAAAACTAACCAAAGAAGGTATATAAAGATGATAATTATACACTTCTAACTGCTAAACTGTATAAACTTTCTTCCAGACAAATCGAAATGGGTTAACGGGGTTACTTCACCGCCGCATTCTTTAGCAGTAGCCAGTCACAGTGCTACTTGGGTCACCATTACCTGGCAACCGCCGGAATTCAGTCACCCGTCCGAAATTATAACTTACAGGTAAACAAACTATTGCAGCTCCTTTATTCGTTCACCCGAAACAATTTTGCGACAGGTTATTCCACAAATCGACGTCCGAAGAACAGTTCAACGTGAACAATTTAACCGTAACATCGTACATGATCAGCAATTTGAATCCCAACACCCAGTACATCGTCTACATTCAGGCCGTAACGGACAAAGGAGTCAGCATGCCATCGGAAACTTTGATAGCTTGGACTGATCCGGCTTATCCCGCTTTTGTCGAAGTAAGTAATTTTTAATGAATTCCACTGGAAATCCTCTCCCGATAAGGTCTCCGCAAAAGGACGAGTTCAGTTACACAGAAAATTACGAGAAGCTCGTGTATCGGCTGACTACGTTGTTAATAAAAAATTTAGTAGTATTGATGAAATTTTCCAGCCGCCCACTGTGCATCCGATGCACCTGGTAATCGAAGGCAGCAGTATGACGATTCTTTGCATCGCCATGGGCACTCCGATGCCGACAATTTCTCTCTACATTAGCGGCAGATTGGTCAGACAAGAAACCACTCGACACATGGTTACCGTTATCAACAACGTCACCAAAGACATGGACCAAATTTCTTGTTACGCCGATAACGGCTACGGCACGCCGATGCAAGCATCCAGAAAAATAACCATCAGCCGTAAGTGCATCCATCTACTCACTAATTCCACTTTAACAATAGGTTTGTTCCTACAAAAAGTCACTGATTTGTTACCAATAAGTTTCTGACTCTTCTATATTTCGCATGCGCGGTTTATGATTGAATGGTGTTATCAAATTTCCGATTTCTTGATGGAACAGTCTTTACATTTATTACATATTCACCAAGTATCAAACAAAAACAACAAACAACATAACCTAATAATTATCCTATATTCAGAAATACAAATTAAATCCGAATTAAAAATGCGCTTGCGCCGGATTCTAAATCTCTGTACTATCAGAAAATTTTTCTGACTATCACAAAACCAGTCCCTTGAACTGTTGGAACAATAAATTGTTAACCAAGTCAGAATGAGAGATGTCTGTGGAGTTTGTTGGAACGCCTAAATTATGACTGCGCAGACTCCTGACGACCACCGGCTATTTCTGACTGTTGTAGGAACAAACCTAATATTACTCGCTAAACGCTCGGAAAGGGGGCTGTGCCCCCTTTCAACCCCCCTTTCTTACGGAGGCGGCTTCGCCGCAAGACAGTTTCCTAGCCGGATCCTCGTTAGCTTCGCGAGCTCGGTGCGATTGAATTTTCGTTTGGAAATTAATCACACTCCGTATATCAATTTTTTAAATAACCAAGGTCTCGCTCGCTGCGCGAGCTCGACTATATCGCTGTGAGTAACGATGGGCTCTGCCGCACTAACCCGCAGCTCGGAGGCCTACCGGCCTCCTACGCAAAGGCTGTTAAAAAACTAAGGTCTTGCTCGCTGCGCGAGCTCGACTAAATCGCTCTAGTTAACGATGGGCTCTGCCGCATAGACCCGCAGCTCGAACGCCTGTCGGCGTTCTACGCAAAGACAGTTATAGAGCCGGATCCTCGCTCACTTCGCTCGCTTGGTTTATGTAATTACCATTTCCTTAAATACAAGTCACCCTGTACTATATTTTAATTTAAATTTAAATAATTGTTGGCTTTAGAAAAAAAACCACCCCGTATATCAATTTTTCCGAATTCCTTAATGAAAAAACACCCTGTACATCAAATTAAATGTCAACATCCCGTAGTAACGGAAATGACAACTTAGACAGTTTGAAGTTTGTTCATCGCCGCTGTCATTAGTGTAGGTTTTTTAAAAATAATTTGATCGTTTCTCCGTTTTTGGTAAGTACAAATGACCAAAAAACGTATATTTTTGCAAATTATTGCAATTTCTTTTATTGTCGTCCATTAAAATCGACGAAATTGTCAAAATAACGAAAAATCTGTCATTTCGGTGTAAGTTCCATTTAAACCAAACGAACGGGCAACGGCCATCAAATAATTTCTTTGGAAATCTGTCAAAAATTTTACTTTTAATTTCGATTTACAGACTCAAACGAATTTAGCTGGCGAAAATAGGTCGATTTTCGTAATCAGCGAATTTTTTTACATCCCCTTATGTACCTCTGTATGCCCAAGTAATTCATTTTTAATTTCGGTCTCCAATCAATCGCCCTAACTCGGTTCTATCTATATACAGGGTGTCCCAATAGTGCGGTAAAGCCCATTTACTCAGTTAATATAATAGATACGAAAAAATGATAAATAGGAAAAATGTTAAGCACCTTTATGCGCACAATTTAAAATTATTTCGAAATATACAGGGTGGCCCATAAATCGAAGCCATACCAAACATACCTTTTTTTAAAGGCAATGATATATTTTTTATTTCATATTCGATTTCAGCTTGTTTTCACGAGTTTCTCAATATAATATTTCATATGACTATACTGAGTATTTAAAAAGTTATGGCCATTTTTATGTTCAAATCGTCATGACTTCAAGGCCCTGTATATCAGAATCTGTATGAGATAATGTGAATTTTTCTGTGTCAGCACTTTTTGAAAATGGTCTATTTTCACAAAAAATAGTTACATTCTAACAAAATTACGATTTGTATACAGGGTGAGTCAAAACGCAAACATAATAATTACTCGCTTAATTTAAATGGAACACCCTATATTAATAATATCCAATGGGAAGTCTATTTCTTACTGAATCATTTTTCATAACATTTCCCTATACCTAACTGTCACCGTTTCTGAGATATTTTCAGTTTTATTAAAAAATGTCCAGTTTTTGATATTATAATTTCATTTTGATCTAATTACCAATGTCCAATGTCCAATGTCTATATGTGACTTTCAGACGGTCCCCATATTCAAGCCAGCGGCATCACGATGACCACCCTCGGCGACTCGGTAACCCTCGAATGCAAAGTGGAAGCCCAACCCGAACCTAAAATGCTCTTCTGGCGCAACCACGAAGACCGAACCCCGGTGATACAAGGCGGCAAATACGACATCACCACCAAACCCATCAGAGACGAGGAACACAAGTACCTAATGCAGCTCACCATCAAGCAAATCACCGACATGGACGTCGGTGATTATTATTGCCACGCCGAAAACGTCTTCGGCACCGCCACTCAGCCAGTTTCAGTGCGAATCAGGAATTTGGCGGCTACTAACAACCTGACGCAGTGCTGCATCGAGCAGAACGTGACCAGTCCCTGCATGGACGCCTGTTCTTTCTACCTGGACATCGACGCTGTTATCGACAAGTTGGAATGCATCAACGACTTCGGGAAGTTGATGAAATGCGCCGCCGATGGGTCGGATCACAGGAGCTGTTGCGTGCACAGGAACGTGTCCAGAAGGTGTTTGGATTGGTGTCGGGGCGAGCCGGTCCTGAACCACAAGTCTTGCATCCTCTCCTACACCAAGAACATCGTGAGTTGTTTCAGGGAAGGAAGGGAGAAGCTTCCAGGGCCGCCTCAAAACGTGCAAGTGGATTTTGTAGATTCCCATACAGTGAATATTAAATGGGATGCGCCGATGAAGAACCCTCACACGGTGGAAATGTATCGGGTTATGCTGAAATCCAACGATGTGCATAGCAAGGAAACGTTCAAAGAAGACACTCCGACTAATCACATCAAGTTTGAGAATCTGAAAGGTAAATCCGGCTTTTCACGCTACTTTAATAGACCTATTCAGTTTAACCTGTGCTGCGCGCGCATACTGTGGATAATTAACTTGACATCTAAACGAACAAACGAACGCACCTCAGGTACAATACGGTTCTGACAACCAGACAACGATAACTTAAGACATACTTCAGACGTCATTTGTCATTATCCAATAATCCGTCGGATTTAATTTGTAATGGACGCGATGACTCGATACAAATTTGTTTTTACTGCCCAGAAAGGGGATTAGGCTTAATATTTACATACAAGTCAAGTCTAAGAAAGAGTAAGAGGGTTAGTACAAAGTTTCCGAAAATGCTTTTTGATCGGTTTGCTATAATATATATTTCAAAGAAATAATCCCATTGACCTATATAAAAAATTATAACCTTTATAAATAAATATACTAAATAATACAAAGAAATACTGTTAAAAAATAATACACACTGAACATAAACAAACATCAAACGGAAACAAGCAACCACAGCACACATCCAATAGCAGGTTATCTCCTGTAGTAAAAGACAAAACTATATTATAGTACCTTGCCCAGTCGTATAGTGGCAGTAGTATAGCTGAGTCTGAATTTATGTATGTTCTGTGCTATGAACTGTTTATGTTCTGTGCTATGAGCGATTTAGTCTATTATATCAGGATTCCACTAAAAATAGTAAATAACATTTTACGCACGAAGTTTTACGTACTGTACTTACAACCACAAATGTAAGATTCCCATTACATGCGATAAACTATTATAAACACAGGGCTTTTTAACTTTTTAATAAATAAAATAAGAAATAATAAGATGCCGGCGTCGGTGCGACTTATGACTTAAGTAAGGAATCTTACAATGATGGTTGGTTATTGATTGTCGATCGTGTGTTTTTAATTACTTAGATTTGTGAAATAAATTAACACCTAAAACACTATTATATTAAATACAAAATTCGCAAAAATTCACAAACTCAAAATCCAAAATGTCAGCTTTAAGTTTGTCGTTCAAAGTCAAACTATTTCGATTTTCGATGTTCTCGATTTCGATTGGTTCTAATTCCCCACGTGCTGCGTGTTGTCTCTGATTGGACGCTGCTGTCACAAGATTTCTACCACAGCGACACTGGACGACTAGGCAAGGAACTAAAACATGGTCTTGAAACGGCAATTAGAGTTAACACGCTATTAGATGTGCGCTGTGATCATAGAGAATATAGAGTGGAAAAAGCGTGTATTCGTAGATGGCACAAATTGAATTTTGCGCATACTGTCACTTGTCATTTAAGGTAGATATCAGTGTTGCCAGAAGTAGCGGAATTTAAACACAGCGTTGCCAGAAGTAACGGAAATCCACTACTTTTAGGCGATCTTGTGTAGGCCTTATATAGTTAAAATCTTATATACTAATAGTATATATGATCTAAGGTTAAAATAAACGACTAAATAAATAAACGATACGAAATAAAATAAATGTTAACAAAATGAATGAAATTTTCTATTACTACAAGTATCAAAAATTTTAAATCATAATAAAAATATACCATATGACCGAATTATTCCGCTGCAAGCATTAGAATTAGAATCTCAATCAATTCTATAAGATAGTAAGGAACAGGAACTTGTTTATCGGTTATTTGCTTCGCTTCGTGCGAATACCGGGCATTTGCTCTCTTTATTCCTTACATAACAAAAGTTCAATTAGCTATCTCATTATTCTCATTGACTTTTCTACCTTAAATGACATAACAATGTCAAAATTGTCAAATCTGTCAAATTCAATTTGTTCCATTATTTTCACGCGCATCCGTATGCTCTTGCCACTCTATATTTCTCTATGGCTGTGATCAAACGGAAACAAGAAACAAAATAGGGTTAAGATTGAATATGGTCTCTTCTTTTTTATATTTTAAAACAGTTTTCATCTAAGAATCATTCAATGTGTCTGTCAATCAGCAATGAAATAAGCCAAATATCTCATCTCTCTTGCACTTATGTTTGCGCAGATTTTAAATGGTTCCACAGATTGCGCGTGAAACATATTTGCTTCTTTTATTCTCTTATGTTGATCAAATAACTCCATCACTCTCTTTCGTAAACTGAATAGGTCTATTATCCTCTGAACTCTAAAACCTTTTTAGCTGGAGCGACGTATTCGGTGGTGGTGAAAGCGGGAAACAGCAAAGGAACTTCCACGCTAACCGAGCCTTTGAAATTCACAATGAGCGATAAATACATTACTTCTGCTGCTAGTCAGGAAGGCCACGATAGCCACGTTGGCGTGATTGTGGCTGTGATTCTGGCCTTGGTCGTGGTCGCAGCCATTTTCGCAGGCGCCGTTTGGTTCATGAGAACCAGGAAGATGTTGGGGATTAAAAATTCGAATGGCATCGCCTTCGAGAATCCCAGTTACTTGAGGGAGGTCAACATGGATCACATACAAGTAATTTCTAGCGAAAGATGACGATCATAGACCTATTAACTATGGACGCGGTTTAGACAAAGAGGTAGTGTTGTCGATGAATGAGAGCTAGTTTGGGCATATGGCAATGAGAGATTGGACAATGCATTAGCCAATAGTAAGAAAGCAAAAGACCACGTGAATTACGTTTTCAGATATGCAAGGTAGCTGGGGTAGAGGAGGGTAGCTTATGGTAGAATATGGTTGAGGATTTATTATTTTTTTTACCGAGCAAAATGCATTTTTCAGCTGAGCCTAAATTCCCACGCATTTGCAAATACAGTTCTTATTTTGTATTGTTAATTGGAACATCCTACCTATTAGCCAGTACATATTTCGCAATTTAAGACCTAGCTGCTTTCTCTTGTAAAAAATATGTTTCTTCCAGGTCATTCTTCTGTCCAAGTGGATACCAAGATAAAAACAATATTTAAATATTAAGCGTATAAATAATTTAACAGATTAATAGCCTTTTTTCACGCACCCTGTATATATTTTATATATTTTTTGGTTCCGCCTACTTTTAGCCCAAACTAGCTCCATCTCTCTCGACCTCTCTCTCTATCATTGGGAACGCTGAATAACCTCAAAATAACGATTGTGCCGCGTCCATACTTTATAAGTCTATGATGACGATGTGATTTTCTGATTATTTGTTTCGTAGATACCGCAAAGGGATTCGGAAACAAACCACCTGACAAACGGTAGTGCTAATAATATTTTAGTTTCCTCGTCTTCGGGAGGTCCTGGGTGGAATAACGAGCAGCTACATGTTCCTGCTCAGCAGGAGGTGAACCCGACTTTGTACGAAGAACTGAAATTAGGACAAGACGGTGCTGGTTTTAAGAGGTTGAAGCCCTAGTATGAGGAGTCCGAGCTGCAGGGATTAGAATCGAGGTTTTAAAATATCACATATTGTGATGGAAATAAATGAACAAAAAATATATTATAAACGTTTCAAGGCAGTTATGTGTAATAAAATTGTTTGGCTCTCAATAAAATGTTCGTTTTTAGCAACTCTAAACGTTGACAATAAAATGTGAATTCAATTTTTTTAAATTAATTAATTCCCCAAAGCTAACTGCCTTTTGAAACATTGAAAGTATAATAGGGTATTGTAAAAGTCTCTTTCGATATTTTTAACAATGCCTCATAGCGTAGATTCACTGTTAGTTTTATATAAAAATGTGATTTATATTATAAAAATAAATTTGGTATAAAAGTTAGGATTAGTGCAGATTACTGTATAGTAGTAAAACTTAACTAACGCACGAAGGTTGATAAAAATAATTAAAAAAAAAGTGTAAATATTAAAAATGTAATCGATAAAATCTTTAGATAAATTGTGCACATTTAATCTGAGGATTTAAAGATGTTGTTTCATTTTGGTAATTTAATCGAATATTTATAATGGGACCAATGACATAAATATTTGATTAGATAATGCAAGAATAACTTAAATTCTATCGACATTAATTTCCTAAATTAATTATAATTGACTATATTTTAAATAAAATTGTCAAATTAATCTAGATATAGAAAATTGGTAAAATAAGCTTATAAATATAAATAGCAGTGAACATAAATTCGTTGTAAATGTGTACAGTCGCATGTGCCTTCAATCTAATGTAAAAAAATATCGTATATACCTGTAGAAATAAAATATTCGTTTGTACATAATTTTTAACCGTTTGTAAAGATAACACCTAATTTAGTAAAAATAGAATAAATATCACAACCAAAGAACCATCATTGTTTTTATCCGTTTTACATCCAAGAAATCCATTTTTCGAAATACTCGCTTGACATTTTCATCGATTAATGCAAGATCGTTTGTCATCGCCTTGTCATGTTCAGCGATCCAGTTAAAAAATCCAAAATAGATTTAAAAATAGCTAATTATTGCAACGAGTTGTAATTGGCGACATCCACAGCAGGTGCTCGCGAATTTTTCGCCATCGACGCGCTAATTTATCTCGATTGATAAATTACCGAACGAAGAGTGAGGTATACATATTTAATGATAAATTGTTTCAATCCATAGCAGGCAAGGGAGTGAAAAAAAAACGCTTGAAAATAATATAAATGTATAAAATATATAATAAAATATAAAATAAAATATAAAATAAGGATTTTTTGGGTAAGTTGCCATGATCTTCAATCTTCAATCAAACCCTACAAAAGGAATATTAATGTTTAAATTAAATGTTATATGTTTAATATTCGAATGAGTAATCTTACCTGCAGGTAAATTTAATCTACAAACATCGGCGAAGTGAAAATCACAAACAGCGTATACATATATCCTTTCAATAATTCGTAATATTTATTGAATAAATTCGTATTGTCGATTCTTTTTACTCAAATTTGTTGAATCAATTTGTCCATGCACTGCGATGTAATGTCTATAATTAAATAAGTATTATAAGTAAAAGTTAAGCCAAAAACGTAAATCTTGTCGAATCTATACAAAAGCAATTTAAATATTAGAATATAAAGTATCTTACCTTAATTGTAGCATAATAGAACAAACAATAACAGTCAAACGAATTAGAAAAAAAACCGAAAACAACCAAAATGCCGAATGGCAAAAACGAAACATACGTAAATTTATTCAATTTATTTTGAAATTTGAAATAAACGACCGCGTCAACTTGTCAAAAACATTCTGGACTCCTTCTATACCTTTTCCAGTTGTATTTCAGAAAGCGTCAATTGAATTTAAGAATAGTCACTTATATTTCGGAAAGTATCTGTTGTATTTCAAAATAGTCAATTTGATTTCAGAAATCATCAATTGAATTTCAGAATAGTCAATTTGATTTCCGAAATTATCATTTGTGTTTCGGAAAGTGTCATTCGTATTTCGGAAACCGTCAAAAGGATTTCAGAGTCCCATTTGGAATGCAGAAATCATATGACAATTATTAAGGAAGAAGAAAAACTCAGTCCTTATATTATTTTTTCGGACTTGAAACAACTTCTCACCGGAATTGAAATATTTTTTTCTAAAATCGAAATTATTCTTCTTGAACTGATACTTTTACAATTTTCTCTGAAATTGAGATTGAAAAGCTATAGATATTGAAGAATTTCGAAATACAAATGATGATTTCTGAAATGAATTTGACTATTTTGAAATTCAAATGAACGTTTCCGAAATCGAACTGACTATTCTGAAATACAATTGATGATTTCTGAAAATAAATTTACTATTCTGAAATACAATTGGTGATTTCTGAAATCAAATTGACTATATTGAAATTCAATTGACGCATTCTTAAATGAACCTGACTCTTTCTGAAATACAGTTGGAAATGGTGTAGTTCATCCAAATTAGTTGGCGTCATTTTTTCGAAAAGCTCATCTTAAACATAAACAAAAGAAAACGAAGAACAGTACCGTATGACGAATTTAGATGGCGCTCAAAATCGGGCACCGATTAATTCTAGTATAAGTGCTAACCCCCGTAAATTACCGAACGAAGAGTGAGGTATATTAATAAAAATAACGCTTCGGATTTTTATTTAAGCATGGTTCGTTCGAAGCGGAAAAACTCCAATGAATAGCGGAATGTCGATTCGAAACATTGTAAGTTTTATCGCGGCGCACGCATTAATAGCACACACGCATATTTATCCCGGTATCTAAAACTTAAATGATCATCGTTCGAGAAACTTATTAATTAGGAAGTGTTTAGCATTCTGATTTAATAGGTAGTTAAGAACGTGGCATGCCTATAGTTGACGGTATGTTTTATTATAGTTGTAGTAGTTAAATGTTTGATATAGGACTTGGATTATAGTAATTTCAAATTATCTTCCTCGGTAATATAAATTGTTGGAATAAATTTCAAGAGTTTGGTATGTTTGAGGAAATCGAGTTTATTGACTGTACTATTACGAATAAATTTTTAATCTTGAATCAGATGTGTACTAGGACGAGGATCGTTTTTATTAGCAAAGTGCACGAACAAACAGATGGTTATAAAATTATAAAAATCAATCATTTTTATGGAAGCGGTGTTAACTGAATCATAACAACGCGATGGTTTTTACTTCGATGGAAAAAAGGCATTAACTTCCTCTTGAACCGGCAATTGCCAGTTCCGTTCGACCGGAGAGAGAGTGTTTTTCGATTTCACAAAATCGCTAAATATTCTCGTAGCTTCTCCGCGATGTTTTATTAACAGAAGGTGCATTCGCGCGTTTGTATTATACTCTACTGAGGCGAGAATGATAGCGAAAATGGAACAGATGAGTTATAGTAGTGCTTTCTTGTGGTACTGGCGAGTACTGGTGGAAGGAAAGGTACTACAGGTGTTTCGCTCCACCTGGGCGGCGTTGTCGAATGGTCTGAATACTCCAATAAACTACTGTTTTGTTAAATATTACTGTATGAAACTTGTGAATATTTGTAATTTCTAAAGATTTCTAGAATCAATAATGAATAGTTTGTTGGAATTTTTACGAAATAAAATAAGAGTTTCATGAAAACGCAAAAATATGGAAGTTTGAACATTTAACTACATGTTTCCAAGAATTAGATTCTAACAAATTTCGAAAATCTCTACTCCACTCATTCCATAATTTTTTACTCAAATTAATGATTCTATCTTTACACAGTTTTATTGTTAAAATATACAGGGTGTTTCACAACTTATCCGACAAATTTTAACCACATCATATGCACTGTTACGAGAGAAGTTAATTTCCCAAAAGAAAATGTAATAAAAGTCTTACAGAAATCGAGATAATAAAATAATAGTTTAATAGTTCAATTACTTATACAAGATGTTCAAAATTGTTCCCATTTACTGCAATGCAAGCTTGGGTGAATGTTTTTTTTGTTTTAACTATTGTTTTGGTGCAACATTTGCTACAGTAAAGTATTAAGGCAAAATTATGAACGCAAAATGCAGTATTTATTTCAATTTTTTATTGAAACTCGGGTTTATAATTTTATTTCTGTAGGACTTTCATTACATTTTTTTTGAGATTTCTCAAAGATAGAGAAGTTGATTTCTCAAAAAAAATGTAATGAAAGTCCTACAGAAATAAAATTATAAACCCGAGTTTCAATAAAAAATTTAAAAATAAATACTGCATTTTGCGTTCATAATTTTGCCTTAATACTTTACTGTAGCAAATGTTGCACCAAAACAATGATTAAAACAAAAAAAAAACAAGCACCCAAGCTTGCATTGCAGTAAATGGGAACAATTTTGAACATCTTGTATAAGTAATTGAACTGTTAAACTATTATTTTATTATCTCGATTTCTGTAAGACTTTTATTACATTTTTTTGGGAAATTAACTTCTCTCGTAACAGTGCATATGTGGTTAAAATATACTGAGTAACAAAAGTAAAAGAACACCAAAAAATTGTTGTTGAAATTTAACCATTTATTCTAGTTACATGTATAAGAGAAAAATAAACAAATGATTAAAATTAATTCATCAAATTAACAACGAAACTTAAAAAAAAATTTATAATGTGTTGCACCACCGTGGTGCTTTACACACTCTCTACAGTTTGAATGAAAAATAAAATTTGCTTCTTGGTGTTCTTTTACTTTTGTCACTCAGTATATGTCGGATAAGTTGTGAAACACCCTGTATTCCAAAATTATTGATATCTAGCGATTGATTCTTGGATATATTTCCAGTAATTCCTGACATACATTTTTTGTACCGTCCCAATTTTTTAACCAATTTTTAGTGTTCAATTTTACTCGAGTCATTTTCCAGGATTCTTCCGTCATGCGACAACATTGCGCCTGATCTAGCCTAGGTGTAGGTAAGTACGACAAAGACACCGAGCATTTTCTTCTTGCCTAACTTGCCTTCTACCTTCTAGTATGCCGGCGATGTTCGTTGATAACGGTTCGCGCTGTGTTTGATCAAACCGTTCGTGGAGACTCACGTGTTTATTTGTTTACCTTACTTTTCGTCCCGATTTCCTCGCGATCGCGGATTTTTCGAGGAGCAGTTTCGTCGGATTTTCTCCTGCTCTGAGAGGTGCGTTTTTTTGGTTTTTCACGAGCGGCGAAAATTGGGAACCGGTGGAAAATTGCGAGGTAATAAAAACGATGTATTTTTTGTTGTTAAGTTAATTTTACAGAAGAAATAGGTAGTGACGGATCTGGAGTAGGAGAAATAAAATTTTTCCATTTAACATTCTCTAAGTTACTCGGTTGCAAAAAGTTTATATTTTCTAGTAACTATAAGCATCGAATTCTATGAATATTCCGTTAACATCTCCAATCCAACGATTATTGTCGATTGTTTTCAGAATGCTCTTTTCTTACCCTTATTGTTTGCTTATTTTTATTGTTTTATGTCTTCATTACAAGTGTTTATGTTAATAAATTTCCGATTAAACCGTATATATAAATACTTATTATCGCTCATTGTTTTGGTTTCCTTTAATTTCTGTCATTTGTATTCAAAGAGCGAACTTACGATAAAAATATGTTGATTTAAAAAATGAAGAACTATGTATTACTTAGCTAAGGAAGAAATTAATTGGTCTTTAAAAATGTTTAATTTCTAATAAATTAGGTTTACTGAATAAATATGTAACTAATTTGCTGTTGTGTATAATTTAGAGTATTATATTAGTGAATTTTAATTAATCTCATTAACCTATTCATTTCTGCATTGATTAAGAGAATTGACCTAGTCAACTTTTGGATGAAGGTCAAAGTGGAAGAACCTCTTAATTTTACCGGTTATTTGAATTTAGTAAAAGGACTCGTTCATAGTCGAGTGTTAAATATTTGAAATTCGACGCTTTTATTGAAATTAAATATTTGTTCATTGTTATATCAAAATCGGTTTTGTTTGCATTGCCCAAACTCAAATCATAGACGTTCTATTTAAAAAAAAATATGCTCAATTTTGTGAGAAATGTTAACGCTAAATTCAATTAAAAAATTTCTTGAGTAGTCTTTAGTTTGACTGTGAGATGCATTTAACTAAGTACATTATTATTTCGACGATTCTCATGCATGCGAGCGTCCGTTACTGTCAGAAATATTAATCACGAGAGATTCTTTTATAACAGAAAAATGCGTTTTTCCTAACGGTTTCTTATACATTGAAGTAAATTGAAATTTAACACTGCTTACAGGTTAAACTAAATATCTGATAAAATTCATTGCCTACAAGAAAATAGTTTTTATAATGTGTTCTATCGACGAAGATACTGTTATATTCGATTGAAATTGAATTAAATTATCGAATAAGATAAAAACAAAAGGTTTGCTGTGCATCTAAGAAAATGCTGGTTTTTTTACAGAAGTATGTTCGATGCATTTCACTTATTATACTGTTATTTCCGACTAACGGATTCTAATTTAATAAAATTGTCGGCATATTTTTTGCCAATTTATTAATAATTCAAAAACCTAATTATGTATAAAATATGTGAATGCAGCTGTTCATTGCAGAAAATATTTATACGATTTCAAGCAGCGGGCATTATAATTTTCAGCTATTAAATGAGAAAGTACAGTTTAGAGTTTACAACAAAAAATAGGTACTTTTCGAGTTAAACTATAACACAAAGTGTAACGAGTCCTATTTGCATAACTGAGCGTTTCATCTTCGCCTGAATTCATCCGGAGCCTGTTACAAACAATACGTTTTTTACATATTTTATTACTAAATTTCCTAGTTACCACAAAAGAATTGGTAGGTATTCGAGAGAAGATTTTTAGTACAGAATTATTCGACTTAACGGTTAATTAATTTCAACTCTACTGGGTCAAATCCTCGAATTTACATAGAACAATTTGTTAATCGGAAACCCAATTCGATCCGAAAAATGCGATTGTATTGCTCGCATTCGACTCGTTTTCGTCGATATTCACGGGCAAAACCGCAGCACTTGGGCGTTTAAACGGTCTGATGTATTCGAAAAAATAATACACCATTATTCTAAGACACGCGAGATAGTCATGCTGTAATTATTACTGAGAAATAAGCGATTATTAACGTTGTGTGGATGTTATTAATCATTATTAGCGTTCGAAAAACAACAGTTAGCGAAAATGAATATGAAAAATCAACGGAGCACAGCAACCACTGGCCTGCGATTTCGATTCACAAAGGAGCAGAATTCGAATAGAAAATATTAATTTAATTAACTAATAATAATGAGATTGATATTTTAATTAAAAATCTAATTCTCAACCCTCAACGGTACAGACTACTTACTCTAGAGTATATAATCTTTGCTCAACGGTTTTCTTTTACAATTTATAACTGTCAACTGCCTATTGACAGTATAGACCAGATAGACCTATTCAGTTTACGAAAGAGAGTGATGGAGTTATTAGATCAACATAAGATAATAAAAGAAGCAAATATGTTTCACGCGCAATCTGTGGAATCATTTAAAATCTGCGCAAACATAAGTGCAAGAGAGATGAGATATTTGGCCTATTTCAATGCTGATTGACAGACCCATTGAATGATTCTTAGCTGAAAGACGGTTTTAAACATATACCTATTACTAATATACTGCTAACTCCCTATCTATTCCATGAGAGAAAATCGTAGCGATTAAAGAGAGAGATCCGACCCTCTATGGTGTGCTTAGTCGTTTATACGCAAGCGCGTTAATTTTAAAAGGACCAATAGCGAGTAGCTGAGGCCTAAAAAGAAAAGAAGGAAAATAATACTTGAAATCGTGGTTAAATTCGGTAACCTGACATATTTACACAGGCAAGTCAAAGTCGATTTTAAAAATATATCAAAAAATATACCAAAATAAAAGCTAGCACGTTTCTGACGTTTCATTTGCTCTGTCAAAAGTAGCCAATCAAGAAATCTTTCACTTGAGCATGCGCATAAATAAGCAGGCACACCACAGTATAATGTTTGCTACGGGTTTTTAGACCATTATAAGCGGTATAGTAGTAATAGGTATATGGTTTTAAATATAAAAAAGAAGAGACCATCTTCAATCTTAACCCTATTTTGTTTCTTGTTTCCGTTTGATGTTTGTTTATGTTCATTTATTCGTTTATGTTTATGACAGTGATGTCATATATCTATGGCTGGCCTTTGATTAATTGGCTAAATGACTACATTATATAAAAACGGAGAAATATAGGAGATTCCAAACACTTACATATTCCTCTTAGTAAATAATTTTTCTTGTACATTCCAGGTTCAGCAAAATGTAACCGTGCCCAAATGTGCTAATAATAATGAGATTAATATTTTAATTAAAAATCTGATTCTCAACCCTCTACCCTGAACGGTACAGACTACTTACTCTATTATAGAGTATATAATCTTTGCTCAACGGTTTTCTCATAGACAAAATAAAATCTTTCTTTCTCTATGGGTTTTCTTTTACAATTTATAACTGTCAACTGCCTATTGACAGTATTGACAGTGATGACAGTGACCGCGACGACACATGACATATATCTAGGGCTGGCCTTTGATTAATTGGCTAAATGACTACATTATAAAAAAAATGGAGAAATATAGGAGATTCCAAACACTTACATATTCCTTTTAGCAAATAATTTTTCTTGTACATTCCAGGTTCAGCAAAATGTAACCGTGCCCAAATGTGCTAAAGCTCGTCAGTATGCCGCAGACTGTATTAAGAGGAGTCGGCCATCACAATCACAACCATCACAATCACAGCCATCACAATCAGAACGGTCATGTAGTGCAAAACGGTCAAAATGGCTTCGTTTCCAACGGTTACAATGGTCATACCAATGGTCATGCCAATGGTCATGCCAATTACGGTGGATTTGGTTACAACGGCCATCCGCCGATGTACCATCAAAATGGCCATGCGAAATCTAATGGGCATGCAGGTAAATATACCCATCGATATTTTATCAATCACGTGTAAATGAGCGTTATCGCGACTAACGGTAAACGGAGATAATTCTGAAACCAAAAGTGTAATAACCGTTTCTCTCCATCGGAGCTGAAAAATAAAGCAATTTTCTTGTAGCTGCCAACACATTTCGTTCTGATCTCTTCCAATATGGTGATTGTAATTAAATTAATTATCAGTTTTGCCAGCGAACTAATTACATATCGAACTACTAGGTAGCGATTAGTTTGATCGCCTCAACTGAGCCACTTCCTACATGCCTGATTTCGAATTACACTCATTTTTTAGGATTGAAAGAGTGCTATTCGATGGAAAAATTATTTGAATTAGATTCAGCAATTATCAATTATAACAACTTGTTCATTAAAAAATATCAATTATTTTGCAATAAATTACGTACATTAACAGAAAAACTATTTGATGGTAAGTTGGTATAAAAAACTTTCTTAAAATCTTATTCTTAGATAGTTGATTTTCAATATCTATATACCCATATATTTGAATTCCTCAATATATATTCACTAACTAAAATATAAAAAATGCAGTTTGCAAATGCTTTACTAATTCCTAAATTCTTCTTCAATGACTCTAAGAATTTACCAGCTTTGTTTCTATTATTAGAAGAAAAAAATAGATATTTATACAGAAAGTGTCTAACAATTCGATTATCGTCTAGAGAGGGTAATTGCTAAAAAATCCAATTAAAACGACGTCAGAGATGAAATAGCGTTTTACATGAATATTTGTATACAAGTTATCGGGGATGTAATCTCACTCAACCAGCTGTTACTGCCGTTGCTGTGACGAAGAAAAAATACTAATAAATCGTTTCGATTTAACGCAATGATATCAGCTTTGCTTGCCAAGGAGAACCCAGCCCAACGTCTTTTTAAAGAACTTTTATTAATGCCAAATAACCACTTAGCATTTATCAATGTTACGAACTTGTAAAATCAAATCAAATACAGGAATTTTCGAGATTAACATCTGGAGTAGACAATGAATAAATGAAGAAAAACTGATAGGCCTTTATGTTTCTCTCTACTTTTACTTCACTGATATTTATGTGGGTTACAATCAATCGTGAACAACTCGAATAAAAAAATATCTAAATTGAAAATCGTACAGTTTACAATAAAATTGTGATAAAATGGCGTAGAAAACATGATTACTCGAAAATTACAGTAAATCGATTTTGAATTACAAAACTACAGGCAAATAACAATAGGTATAACCTTCGACGAAACTGCGATTAGATATAAATTGAAAATTTATTTAAGATAACGCAAGTTTTGCGGGGAATAGGAAACCTCGACTAGGAAGCAATGCGAACGTGATGGCTTCCTGTATTATAATAATTCGAATTGCGACGCGTTCGACCTTTTACCTTTTGGTGTAGTTTCCCACAAAGAGGAAGCGGTTAAATCGTTAAATTTTCCATTGTGCCTTTGTCTTCTTAAAATATTTTTAACGAAGATATAGTCGAGCTTCCTCCTATACAAACGACACCACAAAACTGGTCCACGCGCCTCTATACACGCCAGATATTACACAATTTATTAACAAACCTCGAATAACAATTCGATGGAAAAATTTCCAGGCGACGTTTTCTTGCGCGCTCCCGGCATAAAATTTCTGTTTAAGGATCGAGCTTTTTTTCTTCGTTTTTCCTCAGTGAGTAGGCGCAACAGTCAGAAAAGATATATAAGCGCTATAAAAGTACTAAAAGGTTGGAAATTATCCGGAGAATGTAATACTTGGCCATATTTGGTGTAATTTATACCTGCAGACCTACTTCTGTGGTTTAGAAATAGGCAGAGGGCCCGATCCCATCGGCTCCTTCACATTTATTATAATCGAATATTTTATGAATGTTTAGGTAGTTGTAATGCCCGATTTCACCAACCAGTTCCTAAAGTTAGGTAATACCTAAACCGGATTTAGGAATTCCTAAGTACAATTTGCGTTTCACCATGCACTAAGTAATACCTAAAGGTAATAGGAAATGCCTAAAGTTAGGACAGTTCAATGGGCTTGCCTAAAACATTTAGGAAATACTTATAATCAAACTTTTCATGTGATTTCATGTGACTTAAGTCTTGACTGTCTTTAGACTCTTTAGATGAACATTTAAAATGGGAGGAGAGTTTTTAGAAACTGGACGAAACTGATTTTTTTTCGCCTTTTTCGATATATAAAAATACGGCATTACAAATATCAGAAAGAATAAAAGATGATTTTTAATTTGATACACAGGAAGTTTTTGGAACTATTTCCCGTACACATGCATGTAAATATCCATAGTCCTGGAGAAGAAGATGTAGAAATATTTTACAAATCGGAAAGGTTATTTTTCTATTAATGTACAGACTACATCTTCAGCAGATTTAAAAATAACTAACATAATTTAAAGATGGCCCGGATCATCAAAATCTCTTCTTTTCTCTCAACATATTCAATTTCGATCTCCGCTTATTCGGTTTACACATCAAAATTAGCCAATGCTACCAATAAAATTCAAAAAATTGTCGAGATCAAATTTTTACCTAAGTATTTCTTAGTAAGGGATTTCTAATGTTGGTGAAATTCGATTTAGGTAAGTATTCGATTTAAGTAATTCCTACCTTAGGAATTACCTAGTTAGGAAGTACTTAACAACATGTTGGTGAAATCGGGCATAAATATCACAAAAGTAGAAATATTTACTTCTTCAATAACGACATTTGATTTTTAAAAAGTTGTACTTTCTCTACCTAAATTATCTTATATTTATATCCAGAAAGTTTATAATAATCATTAAGAATCAAATCGTTAAAAATAGAGTAAAATATACCCTTTGTTGGTTTGGCTCCTCGAGTAAGAAGGCCTGCTCCTAGTTTCGCGTTGTTCCATACTTCTATAAGGCGTTTATCAATCCTTAAATTGAATAAATACACTTTATATTACGTAAAATCGACATCGTTAAAATACTCCGGTTTCGCTATTGTTTATTGGTGACATTTCGCTATGAGACGGTTCTCGGCAGAAATATGACTTTGTAAATCAAACGGCATGGGCGGTCTCTGAACGCAAAATTCCTCCTATTGGAATTCTTGCGATTCAACTCATATGGGATATGATAAAAAAAAAAGTGCTCGCGCTTTATAAGAAAAATTAACAGAAGCAATCAAAACATCTCATCGATTCTTCGTTGTATCCGCTAAATGAACCAGGTAGGTACTATAATACATTACAAGTAGACCATTAACCGTAGATGATGAAGATGTAAAATATGATTAATAGCACAAATCAAAGAGGCAGTATTAATCGCTCTAAAATCTAAATCAATTAACGCGCTCGAACTTTTACCGCTCGCAATTAATAATTAGTTAAGTTGTAAAAAAAGAAACGTCGCAGCCACTTCCGCTTCTCTCATTCCGTTCGTTCGCTTTTTCGTTCTCTCGAGAGTGAAAATTCTTAACATCGGTCGTTATCTACCGAGATTTTATCAGTAACAAAGTAATTGACATTGCAATAGGTTATAATTACTTCCCCGTTCGGCCGGCGATCGTACGAGGGTTGAACAATTTTTTCCACAAAAATATCCTGCGCAAATTGCATAATTTATACATACACTGTGTTATTTATAAGATGCGACATAGGGATTCCTGTAGAAATGTGTCAAAAGCAAGCTAACTTTTTTGCCAAATAACGTTCGTAAAAAATAATGACAGATTTGAAAAGATCATCAAAAAATATGTCGAAATGGACATTAAATTTTATTAAATTCGTTCTGGTTTAATTAAAAAATGTATAATTATGTTGAAAGTCAAACTTCATAAATGTGTCATTTTTATGTCACTATCTAATAATTGTAAAATGGGTGAAGTTAGCCGGGTTAATTTACGCTCTGAAATTTAAAAATTTTAGCGGGAAGTAATGTAATTCAATCCCCGCGCAGAAAAGACATTTTTTTCTATTTTTTTTTTGGTTTTTTTCCAATATTTTTGTCTAAAAAATGTTAAATAGAAATATTTAAAATAAGACGAGCTTATTTGAGATATAATTTTATTTTTTTTTTAAATAAAAGCTCCGACAAGTAAGTGTCAATTTTAATAACGCAAAATCTCGTTAGTAGGTAGAGCCTTTAAAATGATGCCATATTTTTATTCTTGACAAAAAAAAGCATTAAAAAAAAACAAAAAATGCCAGAGAAAAAAAGAAAAAAAATTTCAGCACTGCGTGGGATTGAACCAGATTCCTTACCGCTGATTTTTTCAAACTTCAGAGCGTAAACCATTCCAGATATCTCCGCCCCTTTTAACAATTATTAGATAGTGACATATGACGTTTGACTTTTTTCAACTTAATTATACATTTTTTTATTAAACCAGAACGAATTTAATAAAATTTAATGTCCATTTCGACTTATTTTTTGACGATCTTTTCAAATCTGTCATTATTTTTTACGAACGTTATTTGGTAAAAAAGTTAGCTTGCTTTTGACACATTTGTACAGGAATCCCTATGTCACATCTTATAAATAACACAGTGTATATTAAAGACTAGTATGTAAAAGGAAGAAGCTATGTCAAATGCGGTGAGAATTAATTGAAGTAAATGCGTTGAAATTTAATTGTATTTATGGCTCGTCCCCTGTATGCTGGATGCAATCAATATTTAATACCAATTGCGGCGATTGTTTATTGGTATAAATTACCCTTCCGAAAATGGTAAAAGAAAACGCTTAATCGGACTCAATCGATTGCCGTGCGATGTTATCTGCCGATATCGATTTGTAAAAATGCAAATGTAAATTTAGAAGGGACATTAAAACGCATTTCCAATCGGCATCTTTGATCTCGACTGTCTTTTGATTGTGATTTTAATTTCGCTCGGATAATGGGACTCGTCTACAGGCGATTTAAATTGAGAGCTTACAAAAAAAAACACTAATAAATAAAATTACTTGTCAAAGTTCTTCTTTCTCTTTAA